AAAAATAAAATATAAAATTATATATTCAATCAAACATGAATATGCCCTCTGAAAATTATTATTTTAATGTATATATATTTTTTTGATTTTCAAAATATTTTTTAATTAAAAAAATTGGCATGAATATGTAAAATGTATTTGGGAACAAAATATGAAAACACCGACACAAATCTATGAAATAGATATAACATAAAAATGAAACATTAAAACAAAATGAAATCTTAAATGATTATAAAAACATAGATTATATAAATTGTTCCACAAAACCGATATACATGTCTGCCTCTGTAGCTGTTTTGGATTTGTCAGTTGTAGTTTCAGTAGCAAACCTTATAGGATGAAGAGGCCAGCTATGGCAATGAAAGCCTTGAAAAAGGTCAAGCAGAAAGGATCCTTGAAAAAGGACCAGGAAGGATCCTTGAAAAAGGACCAGACACTGAATAAGGGCAACTTGAAAAAGTTGGGGGAGCTCAGCCTGAAGGATAAAATCCTGAAGGCAGCTGAAGAGCACCCAGATAATGAGGAGACCCAAGCCCTGGTGCTTCAGGAATCCATGTCACCTGTTGACAAAAGCAATGCATGGAACCAGCACCAAGTCCACTTGAAAAAGAAGGGCAATGAATCCTTGAAAAAGGAGTTCGATGAGATGGACAAGAAGGGCAAGGGGCTGAGCACTGCTTTGTTCTTGCTGAAGAAGAACAAAAGCTTGTTTGCCAGTGTCTCCAAGGGTGTCAGCCAGGAAGTCTCCTTGAAAAAGAGAGAGAAATGGCTGACCCAGAAGGAAGTGGATGCCAAGTGGACTGATCAGGAACTTGAAGTCCACTTGGCATCAGGTCGGCTGATCTACAGAGAAGCTGGCCACAATGTCTGGGAATACCAGGACACCCAGGACATTGAGAAGACTGTTGCAGGTAAGAGGTCCCTGCAATACCAGTTTGGGCAGGAGTATGAGCTGGAGGAAGGGGATGAGGCAGAGTGGTGCAAAATGTTGGAAAAGGATTTGCACAGCATTTTGCTGGGAGGCCTTGAAAAAGGCAAAGGCTCTGCCAAGGGCTCTGGCCTTGAGAAAGGCAAAGGCAAAGGTAAAGCCAGGGCCAAGCCCAAGCCCCAGCCCCTTGAGGATGCTGATGAGGAGCCTATGGACCTGGCAACTGCCTTGAAAAAGGCAAAGAAGACCAGGGACATGCTCACCAGCACCTCCAGCAACTTTGAGGAAGCCTTGAAAAAGGTGGAAAAGAGCCCTTACCTGAGCAAGCAATCCTTCAAGGACAAGCAAGGTGTTCTGGATGGCCTCCATGAAATGGTGAAGAAAACCAAAAAACTCCTTGAAAAAGGAGAAAAGAACAAAGTGGAGGTTCTGAAGGAGCACATCCTGGAGGCATGTGCTTGCATGAAGGATGCCAAGGAGGAAGCCAAAGAGCTTGTACAGATTAGCTTTAAAGCTGTGAGCAAGGCTGCTTCCTCCAAGGCCAAGAAATGGATCCTTGAAAAAGGATCTAAGTCCTTGGACGCCTTGAAAAAGGTATCTACATCCTTGAAAAAGGTTAATTCAGCCTGTAGAATAGCTGTGCTTTTGAAGCTTGTGGAAAAGCTGGTTTTTGAAAGGCAGTGAAAATCTGTCGATCATGAATCTACCATATGAGGCAAAGAAAAAAGTTGGAAGCTGCCCTGCATGAGTGGGGTTTAAGGCCACAGGGAAGCATTGCATGTCAGTGGTAGCTTTGTTTTGGCTCAAATAGTAGAGAAAAAATAGGAAATTTTGTTTTTCACCCCTGCACCTTGAAAAAGGTTTGTCATACACCCCTTGAAAAAGGAGCTTTGACACACCCCTTGAAAAAGGAGGTTTGCAATGGCCAAGAGACTCAGGGGCTTTCACCTTGAAAAAGCCTTGCAAGTCCCAAAGAAGGTGCCTAAAAAGACAGTTGGTAGTGCATTGGCTACTGCTTTACTGTCTTTGTGGTGCCATGGCAAAGTGTCAGGTACTACCATGAGGTGGCTGGCTGAGAGTGCACTTCTGGATGGGGCACAGCATGATGAGCTTGTCAAAATTGCAAAATGTGGTTCCCATGGGCTTCACCCTGGTAACATACACAGGGATGACATGGCAACCTTTTGCAAAGGCTTGGACATGCCAACCCCCTTTGAACTTGAAAAAGTTCCATGCAAAAACCCCAAGACCTTGAAAAAGGATGGGGACACAGCTGCCATGCTGCTGCCTCACCAGATGTTTGCCAAGCTTTTCACCTATAATGCCTTTGAAGTCATTTTCCCACTTGAAAAAGTGGAATCCTTTTGGAACCAAGCCCTTGAAAAAGGTGATGACAGGTTCAAAAACCACCCAGCCCTGGATGGCAGGATGTGGAAAAAAACTACACTACCTCTGTTCTTGCATGGAGATGGTGTAGAATACCAGACTAGAGATAGTTTGATGATCTACTCTTGGGGGAGCCTGTTGCAACAAATGTCAAGCTTGTCTTCACATTTTTACATTGCATCCTTCCCCAAGAGCTGCACTGTGCCAGAGACATGGGACACCATGCAAGAATGGATCTGTTGGTCATTTGCAGCACTGCAAAATGGCTACCATCCATCTCATGATCCCTGGGGAAAACCTTTGAAAAAAGATTCCCCTTTTTTCCTTGAGAAAGGAAAACCTCTGGCAAAAGGACTTAAGGGTGTCCTTTGGTCCATACAGGGGGACCATGAGTTTTTCTCAAACTCCCTGAAGTTACCACATTGGGCCAGCAAGAGCCCCTGTTGGGAATGCTCTTGCAGCAAAACCCTTGAAAAAGGGAAAAACATGTGGTACAAAACCCTTGAAAAAGGGAAGCAAGGCTGGAAAGTTTCATCCCATGAGGAGTGCTTGAAAAAGCCTAAAAGCACACATGCTTTGTTCTCTGGGGTGATTCCAGGCTTGAGCACCAAAATGGTGAGGGGTGATTGCCTCCACATTTTGTTTTGCAAAGGTGTGCTGGGCCACCTTCTGGGATCTATCATTCACTATTTTCTTTATTATGATGGTGTTGGTGTTGCCCAGAAAGTGCCCCCTGAAAAGAGGCTAGGTACAATTTTTGAAGCTGTACAGAAAGAGTATGTCTTGAAAAAGATATCTCAACGGGTGACAAACCTTCGACTCAGCATGGTTTGCAACCCCAAAGAGCCTCATAAGACCTTTGCTCAATTAGATTTGAAAGGCTCAGAAACCAAATGGTTTCTCCAAGCTTTTGCCCCAGTTCTGGCAGAGCTTGTGTCTCTTGAAAAAGAGCATGAAGCAGCCATGCTGGATGCTGTGAATGGCATGGCAGCTCTCATTCATTTGTTTGATGAAGCTGATGTCTTCTTGACAAATGATGAGTGGCTACAGGCCATGGAGCTGGGAGACAGCTTTTCCACCCACTACAGCCATCTCTCAGGCTGGGCCCTTGAAAAAGGGAGAACCTTGTTTAACATTGTGATGAAACATCACACATTCCAACACTTGCTTGAGAATGCAAAGTTTTTAAATCCAAAAACCCACTGGACATTTAGTTCAGAGGATTTTGTTGGAAAAATGAGCATTCTCACAGCAAGTGTTAGTCCTGGGGTTAGCTCCACAAGGTTGAGCCTTAAGGTAGCTCCTAAATACAGGATCTTGTTTCACTTCTTGCTGACCAGAGAAGGGATGCAGGAAGCTGGTATGAACATTGATCCTTGAAAAAGGACACAGCTACATCCAGAACCTTGAGAAAGGATCACCCAAAACCTTGAGAAAGGATATCAGCAAGACCCAACACCTTGAAAAAGGTCATGCATGTGTACATAGTATGCTGATGCTACAAGAAAAAATGCTGCTGCAGCAGGGAGATCTGGAAGTTGGGATAATGGATTTTGTATTGATTTTTTGATTTTTTTATTGATTTTTTTTGCTTTTTTTGGTGATCTGATATTGATTTTTGAATGGAAACTTTGGCCTCCACAGATTGATTTTTTTTTGGAGAAATCAATTCAGAAATATTGATTTTTTATACAAATCAAAACTCTCAAAAGTTTATTGATTGTAATCAATATCCGATGCTCAGGGTTCTTGTTTTGCTATCTGCAGGTGAGTTATATATGGGTAAATCAGCATCAATCCCCAATCTTTGGCCAAAACTACTTATCACATGTTGTGACCTCCATCTCGTGGGATTTGATTGATAGGGGGCCAGCAACAATAAAATCTATGCCCAGTGGATCCCCCTGTCATGGTAGATTCACCATTCGAGGTGGATTACATCCAAGTGTGCATCATAATATTCCAATATTTTCTCACAAAAAAAAAACGCAATGTAAGAAATGGATGGTGATTTTAATGGCCCATAGTTTTCCGATTCAAATGGTCATGAGATGGCATTAGAATGCTAGTGCCCCATTATTTCCATATTTTCCCACCATTCTCATCCCATTAAAATTGTCATTGGATGCTCTGAGTTTTCCTGAAAATAAGGGATGCTCATTGAGTTTTTCTGAAAATAAGGGATGCTCATAAATATAGCAATTAAAAAACAAGGAATATTATGGTAATCCATTGGGATTGGGGGTTTCTGCTAAATTTTCAGATAATTCCATCTTTTCCCATTCAAATACTCATTGGATGGCATGAAACATGCTATTCGACGATGATTTTCCCATAAGAAACCATCTCCAATATGCCTTAAATAAGTCATCAAAAGTCCCTCATGTCCCTAAAGATTTGCCGGTTTTTCCAACGTTTTTTCCCATGAACAAATGGAATGATAGTTAATGATGGTTAATATAGTGATTAATGGTGGATAATAGTAGTGAAATCTATGGCAAATAACCACCATTAATGGTTAATTATGGTCCATTCCCAGCTCCTCCCGAAATTAATTAACCATTAACCATTAACCATCATTAATCATCATTAATCACTATTAACCATCATTAATCAAATCACTATTAACCTCGTGAAAAATGGTCCTTGGACGATTCCCAGTTCCTCCCGATTCATCGCCCCGCACCTGGCGCTGCCACGACGGCCTCACACGCCTCCGGCTGCAGGACGCGCAGGCGCCACGGCAGGCAGGACGCCTGCCGTGGGCAGGGGTCGTTTCCATGATGAAAAGGGCATTGAAATGGGCAGTGAAATGGGAGATTTTCCATGGAATTTCCATGGTGATGAATGGTGATTCATATGGTTTTTAGTGGTCAATTTAATGGTGTTTCATGGTGATGAACCATGATGAGTTTCTCCATGAAGAATGGTGACTTATATAACCAACATAAACGGTGGAACAAATGAGGACATTATGGGGAGGGAAAGGAAAACCAGGAGAATCATGATTATAACATATTCTAATTGGTAATTTGTAGGCTGGTGGCATTTGGCACTTTTCAAAGTTCCAAAATAACTGGGCATTCAGATGGAAGAATCATGGATTTCATGATGATTTCATGATGATTAATGGTGACTGTATAATGGTGATTTTCCTGGTTTTTAATGGTCAATTTAATGGTGATGAATGGTGATGAATGGTGATGAATGGTGATGAATGGTGAATGGAATTTCCCTCCGGTATCATTAAACCTGGCAATGGATGCTGGGGTGTTCCCGCCCACGCCACGTGGCTGATGACACCGGAGAGAGGCTATGATTAATTTTCACCAACTGAAATCTTGAATGAGGTGATTTGCATTCATCAAGTGAATTTGGGAAACACATGAGCCAAACTGATGTTTTGATAAGATCAAATCTAATAAATAATTCGGTCAGCTGCTGCATGCGCAGTCCAATGGCAGATTTGGCAGTCACACGTTGGGATTTGACAGGCCAACAAATTTGGGATTTAATCTATCACACAAGTAGCTGGGAAAACATTGAATATAGCGCCCAGTGGTTGGGAAACTCTTGGTAGCTCCTTGGCACCCCATTAAATAATTTTTAATAATGGATATCAATAGCTCCTTAGCTCCCTCCTAACCACTAGATTTTTCGGCTTTTCGACTTAGTCCCAGGCGAAACCTAGGTGTGAAAACTGTCAGATGTTTCGTACAGTTATCACAAATGTAAAATAATTTAAAAAACTATTCAGCAGAGGTGGAGAAGATGCGCACAGCATTTCGAATGAGCTTGGAACGCTCATTAAATGGAGTATCATAATTTTGTGGATGCTCAGGCGGCACAACCTTTGGAAAATTCATGACTCTGTCCATAGTTCTGATCACACCGGACTTCGTGCAAAAAAACTCGTGGACCATTTGCATAACTTGTTTGCCATGATTGAGAACAGGTCTGCTTGACAGCCCTTTTAAAGTCGAGGAGCAACCCAAAAGGTTAACTGACCGTGATTTTTTTCGTACTTGCACAGGAATTTTTTTTATTGGAGAATGTTGCATCAGCCAACATAAACTCTTGGTCCACACTTGGGTTTGGGATCCCAATGTGACTGCTTGGCAATCTGCACGGACCTGCAAATCCTGAAGAACATAACACGGTGCCGTAAACCGGTCACGTTGAGCTTTTGTGAATATGTTGACTGGAGTACAAGTTCCTGTCGTAAGCACAAAATCAATGAACAATTCAAGAAAGGAAATATCGGCACCAGTCTCAATCTCATGCACATCCCATTGCAGCTTACGTGCCCAGTAAAGAATCCTCCATAGGTACACCGGCCCCCATGGATAAGCTTGATGCTGCAAAAAACTGAATTCAAACTGCAAGGTCTTTGTCTGCAAGGGTTCTTCAAGTCCTGGCTGATTGAAATCAACAACCACTTGTTTCTGTCTTTCCTTATGCATGGCAGTCTGTTTACGAAGGCATCGCTGACTGGCAGCTGCAACAAAGCTTAAAATTTCAACAGAATCCTGTCTCTGTTGCAAAGTTTGTTTGTGCATTTTTTCTAAGATTTGAAAGATTTTTTTGTTTTTGATTTGGATTTCATTCTTGGCTGTAGCATCTGCTTTTGCATTTGCCCAGATTTTCCACTTTTCTGTGTCACTCATGGTGTCACACAGCTGTGCATGTGCTTTCACCTTGGTGATTGTGATGTGTCGATCTTCTTTTTCATCAAGGTGCATTTTCACGAGTCGCCAAATGTCACGGCATCCATGGAGTTCTGGCTTGGTGATTTTGCCTCTTAATTCGCTATCAACAAGGTCTACCACTGCTTGGCAATCAGTATACACGTGCACGTGGAAATACTTATTTAGTGCAAGCAGCACTGCAAAAAGCTCCCCCGCAAAACTGTGCTGTTCACAGCCTGGCACGATACCGGAATGCAATGAGTGGATTATGTTGTCGGTGGCACTGACCTCAATCACTGCGCCTGCTGCGAGCGTTAAAGCAGGGATGTCTCCAAAGAAAGCGGACCCGTCGGTAAACACTGTATGCAACACAGTATTTTTTACAGGCTTTTCCAGGACAAGCTTTTGATTGGTGACACTTCCTATTACTTGACTCGGGTCAGGAATAGCCGGGGTTAACCCAAAATACCAATTTGCCTCTTTCCAAGTTTTTCGGACTCGCAACATTGTTTGTTGATTTGGTCTGATATCATTGAGTGCTTCACAATGGAATAGGCGATGCTCTCTTGAGTCTTGTGCCCCACAAAGCGTGCAGCAACTATCCACCCCATGTAGGAATTTTGACAAGGCATCGTTGGTAATGTGACGACCAGTTTGATAAATCGCCACAAGTGCTTTCTGATGATAGGTCATTTTCCCTACAGCTTTTTGATTCCCTTCCCAATCAAAACTTGAGATGTTGAAGTGTTTGCGCTTTATTCTGGAAATGGCAACATGTTGAATCCAGGCACTCTGCAGCAATGCTTTTAACACCTTGGATGACACGTCCATCCAACGACACTCGCGGTTGGCAATGTGCATTACGCCTGGGGTCTCGTTAAACTTACATCCAATCATGGTTACCGCATGTACAAAGGCAGATAGCGGACCTGGCATCTTCAACATGGCCGGGCAATTTTGGATCTTTTGGCATTTCTCATGCAATAAAGCTGCTTTTCCAGGAAATATCTTGCTGAATCTCTTCCAGAGCTGAAACCTTAGGAAAAGGAGTTTAAATTCAGGGTCTAGTGAAGGATTTCTGGCATTACACGCAAGATAGCTATTTGCACCCGACCCAGCACATTGGATGGCTTGTGCTGTGTCGGATCTGATTGTATGGTATTCTTGTGGTGTTAGCTGTTGGAAAACTCCAGCATATGACACACATGCATGACCAGCTGAAGCAGCAACTCTTTCTTTCATGCCTCTTGGGATTTTTGTTTTTTTAATAATCCCAAGTTTGCTTTTTGCTTTCTGGATTTTGGCTTTGATCGTTTTTTTGGACTTCTTTTTGGAATAGTTTTGTTGCATGCCTAGGTCATGGGCACTTTGGACTAATGGGATTGGACAGGATTCAACTTGAAGCTGTGCGCATTGCTTTCTAAGTCGCACAGTCGTTGCCCACGACCAACTCTTTTTGGGAGCAATTTTCATTCTCAACGTGTTGGTTGTTTCTTCCAAGGCTAACAGGCTCTTTTGCAAGTCCTCAAAGCTGGATGCGCAAACACTCCAATTGTCAGCAAAAAAGGCACATTGCGCATTCGCAGCGTATTCAACAACGGCGGCATGGGCAAGTATGCTCAAGGCTAACATGGAGGGGATGGCAAACCCGCAACCTTCGATGATCCCCGTCGTTGTAGTCTGCGGCAATGAACAGCACTGGGCAACCTCAAAGAAGCGGCACATCTGCTTCATCATGGCTCTAAATGCATTGCATACATTAGGCGGAACACCCAGCTTTACAAGAATCTTCAGCAGAGCCCCACGGGGTACAGTATTGTAACATTTCATGAGATCAATTACAATTCCACCAAGAGCTTGGGAATCCCTGTGTGCATCTTCTATTTTGGAAGCAATAAGAAGTGCAACCATGTCTGAGGAAACTTTTTTACAAACTCCAGCAATTTCGGGTGGAATGGTTGCACTGATGATTTCGGTAACTTGTTTACCTCGTATGTGCCCCCAAAGTCTGTAGATTTTTGCCATCACTGTAACCGGCCTTATATCGTATGGGCAGCTGGGTTCTGCGCATTTGGGCAGGCAAATTGTTTTGGCAAGTGTCCAGATCTTTGGCCACCTCCCCTGCAGCTCAATAGTGCGGAGAATGATGGCAAGCATCTCCAGCAGGGGCAATGGCAACTTTCTTAAATCTAAAGTAGTGAAACCATCAGAGCCCCTACTGCTTGCAAGCTTGGTCTTTTGCAAGGCAAGCGAGATTAAATTGCCATCAAGTTCCGGCAGGTTGGCAATTTGGTGTTGGGGAATTTTTTCCACCAGCTTGCACATTTCATCGGGCACATCTTCCAACTCATTTGCAGGATCACGCTGGAAGAAAATGTTCCACGCCATGAAGAGCTGCTCATGCATGTCATCAGGGTTAACACTTGTTTGTTCCTGGTGAATTGCTAGCTCCTTGGTGAAGCCAACAAGCAGCTTTACTTTACGATCCAAATGTATCCCTTGAGGAGTGATCTTTTGGATGGACGCAATTTGGCTTTGAAAGGTAATGGGTAAATTGGGATCCAACACTGAGGCGTCTTGGCAAGGTAGGAAATCTCGGCCTCCTTTTTCCCAGGCAACTCTCTTGATCGGACAAGAGACACAGTTTTTGATGGAGGTAAGGGGCATGAGCTGATTATCTTGGACCTTGCTAAAGACAAGTTTTCCACCCTTACTCCAATCTTCAATCAGATCAAGTTTGTGGATGGCCTGTTTGGCTGTGCACTCAATTTGCTCATTCTTTTGGTACCATGCGGCATAAGCATCTTTGATGTGCACTAGCATTTCATAACTCGGCAAGTATTCATTTACCCACAATTTGAGATTTTGCGCAACCCATACACCAAATCCTTTTTTGAAACCTTTCGCGTTCAAGATCAAATTCCAGAGATGTTGTAATTGCACATGTGCTTTAGTGTGGTAGTTGTTGAAGAGAGAGTGAGCTTGTCTGACAGCACTTTGCAACCTGTGAAGTTGCTTCAACTGCCTCCGCATGTGAACACTGCATTGGTCGTGTTTGGCTTGGAAATCACCATCTCTGGCTTTTTTGTTGACAGGAACAATTTTCGCAAACTGTTTCAGTGGATTTTTCCTTGCCCTGCCGAGAAAAGCACTTGTGATTGTACACTTCTTACCTTCCACGTCTACGGCTGACTTGGTAAGCACATATTCAGCGGTGTTCGTCCACTTTCTTGCAAGTTCATCAACGTCACCTTTTTCCAATGCCTGTTCCCAACGCTTTTGGGACTTCAAAAGCGCTTGTTGCACTGCTTCTTCTGCAAGTTCTTGGTCAACCAGGAAATTATCAAAACTTTTTGGCAGGACCCATCTACGGATTGGGGCACAAATGGTTTCGACATTGAAGTGAGCCTTTAAAACAGGATGGGTGCTAAACAAATGAGGAAAGCAAGTGCGACATGAGGTCAACGCCCTGGCAAGCTCCCCATTAACTAGAATAAACGAATGTCTGACTGCGTCGCATGAAGTATTGTCCACATCGTGTCCATTCATCTGTGCAGCAAGATAGGCAGTGTCAATCCATCCTGCACGCTGAAGCAGTGGCCAAGCTCCCAATTTTTCCAGCGTTGTGTTAAAGTCTCCCATGATTGCCGCTGGTCCCTGGAAACTGAGGGCTCTTTTGGCTGCACATGAGAAAATTCTGTTCATCAACGCAGTTGGATCTGCATATTTGTAGGCCATGGTTGGGCCGTACAAACTTGCAACAAACATGAAACGATGTGGTGCAATTTGCACATGTGATTCACTATATCTATTGGAAAGTTGAATATCTTCCTCAAGATCAGAACTCACAATTCTTTGAGGAAAACTGCTGAAAACAGCAGTTCCACCCGCCAATCCTCTGAACCCAGAGGAGGATTTTCCAAGCGTACCAACAGGTGCAGACCACCGAACATGTATGCTTCTATCATAGCACCACTTGGTCAATTGTTGCTGCACTGGCTTTGTGGCTGCTGTTTCTGAAATTGCAATCACCCCTGGAAAAAGCTTCAGAATCTGGTCCTGTTTGTTCCAAATGGTGGTAGGATTACATGTGACCAAAGCAAGTGTTTCAGGTCCTGGATTTTCAGCTTCTCCGAATCTGAAGGTGCACACCCACCAAACAACCAGGGTGACGAGCAGGATCTGGAAAACTGGAGATCCTTGGTACCATTCAAACCATTTTTTGCGTGAAAGTTTGGCAAAGTTTTTTTTCTTTTTGTGCGAGTGTCTTCTTCTTCCAACCCATCTGGCTTTTTTCGGTTTTCTGGCCAGACAGTTTGGACGGATACACATTAAAAATCCAGTTATGGAAAATAGAATGGCTCCGACAAATTTGAAGTTGATGAATCTTTTGCGGGCATCAACATGATTCTCCTGTGCTCCAAAAGGATGTATTCCATGCACATAGCGAAGCTCCAGGCAACTGGGAACAAAAGGCAACTGTCCACCTGAGCCTAGACCAGGAATTAAACCGATGGGAAGGATATGCCTCCGCTGTCTCTCAATTGATTGATATCTCGGAATGATCTGCGCAACACAACCTGGATTCACTGAACGATGTTCACTTTCATTCAGCACTTCGGCGGTAGTAGTGAAGAAGGAAACCATGAAAACCCATGGCGGTATGGTACATGTGCAGGACAGGTTAGTTTGCAAACTCCACTCTTCATAAAAGCATTTTTTTCCATTGCTCAGTAGGAGGTGAGCAGGCAGCAGGGTACTACATAGTACCAACATTGTCATTGGCACGGAATGTAGGTAAACTGGAAACACTGCAATAGGAACAATACCGACATTATGATGACCCGGAGTTGTCGGTATTCCGGGGGTCCTGGGACCAGCACAGTTGATTACCACACCTTCTTTGCCATTGTCAAGCGCATCAGGATTAAAGCACGCAACTTGGCAGCTTACACTAAGACTGAATTTCTCACACGGCCATATGACACTTGATGCTTGGAGCCTGACATGTACAGCTTTTGACAAGGAAAATGAATAATGGAACCCTTCTGTGACGGCAGCTTTTCCCACAGGATTAACGCCCGTAACCCTGTAAGTTGAAGAAAACCCGTGCGGTGGCATGCAGTTTTGAAGTTCCATTACTCGCTTCTGGCAGGCCCAATTGAAATCACGATCGAAACACAAGCATGCCAAAAAGGAGAAGGTCAAACAGGGCTGATCGTTATATTTACTTGATGGATTACCGTCGATCAAGGCAATGCTCTGTGAAATAGTGACAGCTCTGCTGTGGCCCCTCGTAAAACAAATTGCCACAAGGCTTTCACAGAGGGCAGTGCCATGACAAGAGTGCCAACTCCTGCAAAAGGTTGTCACCATGAAAAAATAAATCAAATCTGGTTCCATTGAGTCAGGGAACGTCGTCAATAAGGAAACCATGACAGGCCATGGCGGTATGGTACTTGCAAAGGGAAGATTGGCTAAGGGCTCCAAAGGTTTTTGATGATGATTCCTACCACAGGCATGGTGGTGGGAAAACAGCAATGAGCGTCTCGAATGCCCTGAGGACCTAGAAAGCACCGGATAAGGAGACATCCTTGCACTGGGACAAGAACCGACATTAGGGTGACCCGGAGTAGTCGGTATTCCGGGGGTCATTTGACCAGCACCTAGTCTTCGCGTCCAAAAAATAAAAATAGTCTCCCACTCATCTCTCTTGATTTCAGTGGGATTGCAATACCCCACATGGCATTCTGTTTGGTTTGCTGGTTCAGCTCTTTGCCTTACTGGAATGAAAGTAAGGAACTTGGCAGGAATGTTTTGATTCATGGAAAGGACATGTTTTCCCTGTGATTTGACGCTGGCAGTCAAAAAGGTCAAAAAAATCCTTTGAAGTGGCATTGTTCTCAGGTGCATGGATTTGCCTTCCACCTGAGTTTCCAAGGTCCAGTGTCCTGCAGGCACTCTGGCAATTCTTGCAAAACCGACATTCTGTTTACCCGGCTCCTAACCACTAGATAGTTAGATATGGACCATGGCAAACAACAGCATTTCCCACATCAAACAGTAGTTACCTCTGAAATTTTACATAGCTTTAGCTGTTAACTATAGAGGGGAAAAACAATTATTCGTAAATCCGGCACAACATCATAAATCATCATAAATCATCTACATTATCATCTACATTCATCCATTAAAATTGCCCATATTTCCATTAAAAAACCCTGAGAACATTTCCTCTCAAAGAACTGCAGCATGCCACAACCCATCGGCTTTGGACCTCGCCGGGTTCTGGCAAAAACTCCTCCCAAGCCTCAAAGCCACTGTAAGAGTGGGGATATGTCACAGGATGTCGGTACCAACCTACCTCAGCTCCAGCAATTGCAGAATTAAGTCATGCTGAATCATGCTATATGTAAAAAAAATTGGTGATGCCAACAAGCAAATCAAGAATACTTCAACCTCCAAATGTGCTGAACAAATCCTGAACTTTGATAAGAAACCTCTGAAGAAAATGGCAATCATTTTAAAATCACCTGGAAGACTCGGTTTCATCTCAAATCCTAAGCGTGTTTTGCTCCTGAGCAATCATAAAATATGCGCCATGTTTTGTGCTCATTTATTTATATCATGGAAAACCAGTACGAAACTACCAGCCCAATCCAATCTAAGGGGTACGCAGCAATGTATTTGCGACGCTTCAAGGGCTCATCTATCTATCATCGCACCACTTGCCAGCCCTCCCTGCATCGCGCAATTTTTTGGGGGTTCAGCCGTGGGTATGGCCCTCACGACGCGGCTCCCCGCTTCTTTCCTCAGGATCGTGTGGCAAAAACATGCAAAGTCATCATGACGGCAGTACATCAGGATTTCGATCGATAGTAACAGTTTTCGCAACATCTCATTTTTGTTGCCGGGTCCGGCATTGCCAATAAGTTTCAAGCGGAGAGCGGATATAGTATGATGATTATGCATAATCGCATCAATAATCAAAAATCTATTGTATAATAATCAATTCACACAGTCGCCCTTGGTGCCAACAAGGTTCTCTTCTTCGACTTTTTCAGAGGCCCGCTAGGCTCCTTGGCCTTTGGAGGTTCAGACGCAGCAGTTGATCTCTTAGCCTTTGGCAGCTTTTTGACCTTCCTTGGCTGAAATGCCAACAGCTTCCAAACACGTCCGTGCCGAGCAACTTGTCCCGCAACATTGCACTGGTTGGGACTTCTGCTCAGTTATGGTCAGTTGGGATTTAGATTGGATATTATTGGATTATTGGATGTACATTAGATTGGATGTAACATATGTTGCAAAATTACAATGAAGACATTGCAGAAACCACTTTGAACAGCTCAAAAGCTGCTGAACGAAGCGTGCCAAGGACGCCCCATGCCCGTCGTCCAGGTCATGAATCATGAGACGATTCTCCGCTATGACATGGGACACCCCTTGGCCACTTAAGTGACCGGGGGAACCACCGGCGCAGGACTCCCGGATGTTGATCTTCATAGGCAAAATGGCGCGGCTGTTTTCCCCCATTGCTACATGCAACCAATCAATTGGTGGGACATGGCGATCTCGGAAACATGTCATCACTGAAAAAAATCAAACTGCGCCACCTGGGGCCTGGGACGAACCGATTTTCAACTTTGTTCAGCTCAAGCTGATACAAACATGTTGTTGTTAGATACCATCCGATGATTAAACATGGCAGTGGAAAAATCTCCCATTCATAAATTAATATAAATATATATATATATATGTTCCCGTTAAGATCTCCATTTATAGGGGATTTCCCATTGCCGCGTTTGAAGACCAAACGGTAGCTGGATATAATTAGCAAAACGACCCAAAGCGGCCTGCCGGTATTGACAAACACCAGCCACCAAATGTCACCCCCAATATTTCCTGAGGATGCCTCCCAACATCGCATGGACAAGCATCTTTTGCCGCGGGGCCACCGAATCGCGCTCCACTTGCTCTCCGTTGTCTTCATCGTCCATCACTGAATTCGGTTCAGCCGAACGATGCTGCATTGCGCTTTGCATCTGCTTTTCCCAGGCCTGGGGCGGTATCAGCAGCATGTTCCCAACGAAAAATCCGTGATACTGCGTTCCATGTCCCTGTGCTAAATGTTGCGGCGTACTAAGTGAATATATAGAAACAAGACTGTCGCTTAAATATGTCGCAATAAGTCAATCATCCCCGGAATAAAGCTGGATCTATCTACTCTCCCTGTGTTAGGGGAGATATCAGCTTCTAATAGCAAATTAACGCTTGTCTTGGGCAAGCCTACTAATTCACAAACCGGGGTACATCATTCTCGGGACGTTCACCTGCAAACCATAACAGCTTACCCTCCAGTAGTCAAACATGGCTAGGAAATCCTCTACATAGTTTAAATGGAGAAATCAATTAAGAGAATTCATAAACCATTTAAATAAAGATATTTTCCAGCCATTGTCTGATTGCCCGGATATCCTTTCGGGTCTGTTTCATTCACCGTCGGTGAGGCCTTGCTTTTCAGCATGTAGAGTCGCAACGCGGTCTTGGCGTCTTGAACTGAATCATGCGTTCCGTCCTGGCGCTGCGGAGATGATGGTAACATCTCCAAGTGAAATCCCGAACCAAAACCACCAAAGGTTGGTCACATCGCATACCGGGCATACCGCATAGCCGTATATAGCCGTATACTCTCTTGATACTCTCTGGACCATTTGTGATCATTTATGTATTTGAAGTCCATGCTAAGCTGCTAAATTCAAACTTAGCACCCTGTGCAATGCAACAGAAATGATAGAAATGGGACACCAAACGATGTTTACGGCCCAAACCGATGGACGTTTTGTCAATGGACATGTTGGGCCAATCTTAGATGCTGTTCAATCACGTTCACCATGGAAAATCCGATTAGAACGGATGATTTGGCGCTACCACCATTTTAGGAAACCTCCATATACATGAATAATGTTAAATTCACATGAATATAATAATTAATAATTATATATAGTTATAATTTATACTCATTCCCGAATTTATCAACACCCACATTCCAAAACAAAAACTGGCAATGCGACTTTGGGTTGGTCCCTCCCTACTAATTAATGAACATGTGCGACCCCCCTATTAAACAACACCCTGCTCAGAAATCCTAATTTTGTGGTAGTCAGGATATAGTTATGTTTAATGGTGTTACTGCAAACTTGATTTTCAATGGTTGAAAAAGTAATGTTTTGAAGGTATGTCCCATGCCCAATCTCACCATCTCACCCCATTGGGAGGGAGGTTGCCACTGAAAAGAGAAATCTCGACCCATTGGCAGGCCGGTTGGTTGTTGTTGTTGTTGCTGTTGTTTTTTGGTGCGACAAGCCCTAGCTGTTTAAAGCGGGAGGGACTCTTACCTTCTAGAGTTCTAGAGATTTTATGAGATTTCTAGGGGGGTTATTGATACAAACTTGGCATTATAAATGATATATAATATATTTCCATGTGTATACATACATTCACATATATATATATATATATCAAAAAACCACACAAACACACAGTGTGCGTATGCAAATCCATATATATATATATATATCATTCTATATCCAATATATCCCCAGCCGAAATCAGCAGTCCTGTATCTTCTCTTGTAGCCAATGCAATGCCAACTTCCTTAGTGAGGGCGTCTTCTTCTGCCCCGGCGGACGCAAGGGCCGGTAGAGCGAGGTGTCCCGGATCAGCACGTGCGGGTGCGACAGCAGCAGCGCCTGGGATCCAGGACTGCCATTCCTTTAACTGGGCATTGTGATTTCATGGCGATTTCATGCTGATTTCATGGCGATTTAATGCTGATTTCATGGCGATTTAATGGTGATTTCATGCTGATGTAATGGTGATTTCATGGTGATTTCATGGTGATTTAATGGTGATTTAATGAGATTTAATGGGGTTTAATGGGATTATTTAATGGTCAATAGTTGTGATTAATGGTGATGAATGGAATTTCCCTCCGGTGTCATCGAACATGGCAAGCTGAAACCGGACACCTGGAAAAATCAGGTTTTTCGGTGGGAAAATCCGTGGTTTTCCGGAAAATGGTCCAGCTTAAGCCATGTTTTATGGCACCGGAGGGTATACGGGAATGGTAGCTGTAACCTTCCAATCATGTCCAATTCCATGGTAATTATATCTCTCTGGTATATTTTTGGGTAAAAAAAACAGCTCAGGAACTTTCTCAGTAAGATGCGGCTTTGTCTGAACAGTCTGAACATGATGGCTACCCGGCTACCCCTAAATCCATGCGTTGATTCTCATTTATTCCCATTTGAAATGACCATTGGGGGTACACTAACAATTTTTAGAGACACACATATTTCATCTCAAGTTCGCAATTTTTCTATCATGGTATATTATATCCCGATGAAAAAAACACACATTTTCCACCAGCGATTGGATCCTTCAGAGCCGCGCCTGAAAATCGTTCTGCAGTGAGTGACCCACCACGATCTTCCCCTCCATGACCTTCGCGGCCAGCGCGCGCGCCTGTAGCACAGAAAAAGCCAACTCGGGATCCAGTTAATAAGTTCAGTTTGGAATATGAAATAACTCAAGCATCCACATTTATCCTCGGGATCAAGAAGCCCCATGATGAATCTATGGACTGTGGAGAGCCCCTCTTAGAGTCCTAGCTGGTACTTTCAACCCATCTAAAGAATGTTTGGGAATGGGGATCATCCCAAGTATGTTGACAATTAGAAATATTTGAAACCAGCGGCCAGACTTGGAAGTTGGAATGATAAACATGTGGGAACTCCACGATGAAGTTCATTTTTAGGGCCTGGATTGGCATTCAAAGCCTGCCTGATAGAGTACAACGGCAAAAGCCTTCTTTCAAACCATTGTTGCAAGGACAAAATTGCCAAGTCAAACTTTGATTAATCACGTGGAGCTCTTGTGTCGTTGGTATCTGCATGGGTATAGTCTACCTTTCTGTTTAATCAATTGCTGTCCTTTTTCGGAGACATTGTGGGAAACAAAGAGGCCTGAACCAAACTCCAGAATGGAGCAAAATAGAACACCAACATGACCTTCCCTAAAACCTAAAAAGAACATCAGCAAAGCTGTCATGCACTAAATACAGAATTACAAAGCAGTGATGTCACAAGTCACTTAATGCCCTGCCTCATCTTCAGAAATCACACCTTCGCGGTAGAATGTTGCTGGAGTGATGCCAGTGATGGGCGTTCGAAAGTCTGTCACATATTCATTGGGTCGGACATACCTCAGCTCATCGCTCATGCTCATCCCAGCGGTCATTTCAATGGCAGCAGTCAGTGTAAAGCATCAATGCAGTCAGCATGAGGCAAACCAATGTTAGTTCACATAAGTCTACAAATAATCCCATCTTCCTATACTCAACAGCCCAAAAATGGGCCCAAATATGTTGTATGGGGGAGGAGGTGTTATATATATATATATATATGTATATACTATATATATATATATATAAAAAACATATATAGACATTATAAATCTATGTGCACACACACACACGCACACACACACATATATATATATATATACATATGTACATAAATGATATATATATATATATAAATCAAAACACCTGACATTTCACCTCAAACAATGCATGACTAATTCTGGTATTAAGCATGTTTCATCCCCAGAGTTAAACGATTTGCTGGCTAAAATGTGTGCTGGTCAAATATCCAAACGTTTCTGTCTACCCAATTATATGGTCTTGTTGTTCCCCAATGTACCCATAGTACGTTTGTTGGTGTCCTGTGCTGCACCTTAAATCATATCCAACCCAAAAGACCACAGGTCTTTGGCGAGTTTCGTGTCTACATCACCCAATTTCGGGGTTATCCAATGTTCACAAATCTTGATCACCCAAATACGTTTTGATTCAAACCCTGGGAATCCCTGGCATACTGCTGTCCAAATCAAACTGCTGCGCAAATGGATGATCTGGAAGAACCTGCTAAATGTTAGCTCATGATTTGGATATTTTCTTGGATTCCCTGTTAGTTCCGTTAGTTCACCACTTGGCCGCCAGTGAGTTCCCTAGGAAAATGATCTACAAATGGTGGCAAACTGCCAGTGATCTATGTCGGCTTATTACATGAATCAGTGAACCTTACCCTCTGGTAAATTAACATAACTATGGAACAAACCACCATTTTTAATGGGAAAACTCACTATTTCTATGGCCATGTTCAATAGCAAACTGTTAAATTACCAGAGTGTAAATATGATAGGGGAAGAGCGGAGTCCTTGTTCATCACCATTTCTTCCGGCATGAAAATTGCAAAAATGCCATACTTCATGCGGCGCCATACCCTACTTCTGAATAAACAACATACCTCACTTGACTTTGAGCCAAGAACCAACCTCCAACATCCACCAGTTCTTAAAAGTCATTGAGGACGGCTTACCATTACTAGCCCAATCCATATCAATCCCTGTGTTTATATCCCGATGTATTGCTCATTCATTGCATTTATTGTTGGGTTTCCATTGAACGAAGTACGGTTGCCAGTTGATGCCAATTGATGTCACTTGATGTTAGACTTCATTGCTTGGGCATATTACCATACACAAGGTCTTGACCCATACACCCCCCAACATGGTTGGTTCAAATGGTTAGGCAATGTTTAAATCCTCGTAGATCATGATTGAAACACCATTTGTTGGATGGTTATCCATTGAATCCCCAGGTATATTGTTTACATCGCAATTACGATTGTTACATGGGGAACCCCAATCGGCTACCTCTGATAATTCAACATTTCACCATGAAAACACATGTTTATCTTGGTTTTATATACAAGCATCTACAAATGAACCATGTTCCATAGCTACGTTAAATTAATGCAAAGTAAGTTTTATTGGTACCAAGGACCGTGTTCTCCATACAAACATTTGCCATTTACCCAATCTTATCTAGTTTGTTTACCCTCTGGTAATCCAACATACCTACAGAAACAAGAAAAAACTGCATTGTTTTATGAGTACCCTCTGGTAAATTAACATAGACCCTGAAAATCACCAATTTATAGTGGAAACTAGTCTTCCAACCCCGACAACTGCCAGGGTCTATGTCTATGTTAATTTACTGGAGGGTAAATCATATTAAATCATCAATGGTCCATTTTCAATAGCTATGTTAAATTAACCGAGGCCATTCCCCAGTGATTTCAACTAATCATTGTTAATCATGACCAACCATTATGAACTATTTCCAACCATTAGTAACCATATAGCTTATATATATAAGGAAAAACTATATATCCACATAATTAATCGTAAAAAAACACAATTAACCATTGTTGACGGTATATGACCAACTTCATTATAACCATAATTAACCATAATTAACTATTAACTATAATTAACCACAATTAACTTTAATTAACTTTAATTAACCATAATTAACAATAATTAACCATAATTAACTATAATTAACCATAATTAACCATAATTAACAATAATTAACCAATAATTAACCATAATTATATAATTAACTATAATTAGCAATGATAAGCACAAGGCTCTTATCCAGCAGCACCTTCCCTTCGCAATCCACGATGGACACCCGCGCCAGCACCGAGCGTGTGCCGCTGGGACCCACGCCCACCATCTCACAGTCCATGGCCACCACGTTGCGCCCAACGAGGCCAACGACTTTCCCTCGGTATCATGTTTTCACATGTGTATGGTTAATGGTTGTATAAAAATGATATTCCATGCCATATGATATTCCATGTTATTATATATTCATCAATGATATGGTTATATATATATATATACATCCATATGGAAAATACCAATGATCTGTGGAAAAAAAGGTTACTAAACTAAAGCTATTTTGATACTCCAATATCAATAAGATAATTGAATAAACATCTATAGCTATAGAGCTATATATCAATGAATATTAGCATTATACAACTTACAGTTAGTTGAATATTATGGAATATATAGCTATTGGATGTATTCAATATATAACTATTAATGTTCACTATAGCTACATATATATATATATATAGATATATCAATGATTATATTCTGGTAGAATATGATATGGACATATATATATATACTATAACTATAAACAATCAATGAATTTCTGTAGGTATATAATTGTAAATTATTATGTATTCATATGGTTCTATGATTATGTGTGTATGTATGTATATATATAATATACATGTCTGTGCGTGTGTCTGTAGGATGTATAGAGATCACAAATAACCCAGTATTAATATAGCTTTCTTTAATTTTATACTTAACAGTTTTCTTGTTAATGGAGGTTTCTAGCTGCCAGCCTTTCTGGCTACTTCAGACATGTCCGACATGTCCTGTTGATTTGCATGGTAGACTCCCATTGCTGCTGTTCCCTGCAAGGCTGATATTGCATGAACTTATACCATCAAAATAATTGGGTTCCGAATTGGGCTGCTTGCAATCAGTTTGTCCACGCTCCGACCCTGGTAATCCCGCGTTATGTGAAATTCTCATGTAATAATGTATTACTGTATTACCATTGCATGAGGCTATTCATGCATGAACCTTTACGTCACGTGCAGCGCGCTCCCAACTGCAAGTTGTGAGATACATCTTGATTTCGCTGTCTAAGTCCGCGAAAGATGTCTGCTGAATCCCCGAATATTTTGACAAGCAAACACTCCGGTGATCTCCCGAAACAGCAAAGTTCTATAAAGTTCTGCCTGTTTCTCTGGACAGATATGTAATAAAAATGCCAATCCGAAGAGATCGGCTATGTGAAGCACCATAATTATACCCATTCCAGTGATTATCGAGTCATCCCAAGATTTGATGCTCAATCAGTTGATCAGCTTAATCTGTATTAAATACACTAAATGGACCAATTTCCCCACAAAAAAAGTGCTTTCTCAGTAAAAATATGATGTTTAGTGAGATCTCCAATTTTCAGACTCCAGTCTGTCCAGCTCAAGCCACTCTCCTGTTCCTTAGCTTTGGGCGCCACATCTGGGCGCCGTTCGATCAGGCTTTTCCAGTTTTGGCTCACGAAGAACTGGTGCGCGGGCGGGATTTCCTTCTTGGCCTAAAAGTGGGGTGATGAGCGGAGAGATTCTAGGGAAAAAACAAGGGAACATCTTTCTTGTTTGTTTGTTTGTTTGTTTTGTTTGTTTGTTTGTTTGCTTGTTTGTTTGTTTGTCAGATATCATACGTATAGGGGATTCCTGCAGATTTGCCCATCATCAAAGTTTGGGAATGGCTGGATTGCAAACTGGCGCCATCCTGTCGGACCAGGCAGATGTCAGGGCAAGGAGCTCTGAAACTTACCAGGCTAAAGCGGTGAAAGCCAGAGTCCCAATACTACTAATAGAAGACTATTATATACTCATTATTGATGTTGACTTCACAAATAGTAGGAATGATTTAGGGCCTGGTTTGCGCCAGATGATGCACTACCCAGGCGCGGGGCTGGGAGAATTCATGGTAAGGGGAACTGATCAACGAAAATGGGAGGGGGCCAAAAGGTTGCCATGGGAAGATTCGTGACGTTGGCCGCAAATTCAGCGGGGTTTCCTTCTCAGATCTCCCAGTCAAGCCACAGGCTTTGAGGGCTGCGATGATTGCTTTTGCCTCACTTGCGCGTCTTTCTTCAAGACCTTCAGCACGTTCACGTCTTTCGCCATGGCAATGCAGGTTCCAACAGTCCCAACGGTTGCTGATTGGACTATGGTGAAGTTGTGAGGTCCTGTAAGACCTGGGGTGCTTTCTATCAATTGTCTCATTTGGAAAGGATGCACACCTTAATACAGAGGGAAACGCATGGCGTGTCAGGCCTTTTTGCACTTGATCTGCAATGAACATGGTCACAAGGCACATGCAACGGAACAAAGTGGGGAACACCAGGTGAGTTGTGAAGAAAAGTCTCAAGTTGTCTTGATTGGATGAACAACATGATACACAAACGATGGTCAAGGAGATAGTGATGATCATGGTGATGGTGAGTATGATGAGGACGGGGGATAATAATCACACATTAAATCGGTGCACATATAAAATCACATATATAATTATATATATATCCATCCATCTATCCATCCATCCATCCATCCATCCATCCATCCATCTTTATGCCTTTATATATATATATATACACATATAAATATCAACATATATACACATCTCTATACTATGAAGGCAATACCAAAGCTGATTGTGGTGGCAATTCGTGGTGACGAGTCAACAGCAGCGGTGCATCTACCTGGCTGACCTGGCTGTCGCTGGCCACAAAAATGCTTCCGAAGCTTCCGGCGCAAAGCACACAGCCTGTGCGTATCGCTGTGCCAAAAAATCGATGAGACGATCAACACCAAACATCCATGGACTTTTTTGGGGCCTTTTTTAATGAGCTTACCATAAATGTTCATCGGATATATTTTAATGAATCTGATAACAGGGGGACATAGCAGGCGTACCAATACCAAGGTAGACGCAGATGTCGAGAGGCCAAAGTTTGCCAAGGATAACACGAGCGGCTCCCAGGGGTGCCTTGGCCGTTGGCCATACAGGGCCAGCATACTGCTTCTCGTGCAAGCTCAGCCCGTTCCTGCCAGGTTGCCATTGATTTCAATTGCAGCTGGTAATAGAATGGCCCAATGGCCATGGAAATTCCACCATAAATCAACATTGAAATCGGAAACTCATCTATTTTTATGGATATAAATGGGCAATGTCTCCATATAGATCTTTGATTACCAGGGAGTACATATGGTCAGATCGGGCCAATTCAGCTGGCAGTTGTGGATGTTCATCCCACTGCACAAAACCCCAACCACCTGAATCTCCACGTTTGGTTGATTTTGCCATTCATTTCTTGTGGGTTTAATCACCAAAATGCAATTCCATTCCTCTTTGGATAAAGTCCCACATAATTCATATGAAGAAAACATGAGGTCCCATCATTTTCTGCATGCAAAACCTGAAAGAACCTGGCAAATAGTAACATTTGGGGGCACCTGTTAAGTCCAAAACCTGGGCACGGCGAGTCAGTCCTCAATGGTGGCCACCCCGCATCGGGGATCCGATAGTAGCTCCTGGATGGATCTCTGAGTCATGGCTTTGGGGCAAGATTGGACATGAGTTGCGGAACTGGTTTTCAAATATAAGGTGTATGTCATGCACATATATATATATATATGTGTGTGTGTGTGCAATTCTATGTAGTACATGATACAGTACGTGTCATGTATATGTATAAGTGTATGTGTGTATGTGTGTATGTATGTATGTATGTATGTATGTACGTACGTACGTACGTACGTACGTACCGTATGTAGGCATGTAGGCATGTAGGCATGTAGGCATGTAGGTATGTAGGCATGTAGGTATGTAGGTATGTAGGTATGTAGGTATGTAGGTATGTAGGTAGGTAGGTAGGTAGGTATGTAGGTATGTAGGTAGGTAGGTAGGTATGTAGGTATGTAGGTATGTAGGTATGTAGGTAGGTAGGTAGGTAGGTAGGTCTGTAGGTAGGTAGGTAGGTAGGTAGGTCTGTAGGTCTGTAGGTCTGTAGGTCTGTAGGTCTGTAGGTCTGTAGGTCTGTAGGTTTGTAGGTTTGTAGGTATGTAAGTAGGTAGGTAGGTAGGTAGGTAGGTATGTAGCTATGTAGCTATGTAGCTATGTAGCTATGTAGCTATGTAGCTATGTAGCTATGTAGCTATGTAGCTATGTAGCTATGTAGCTAGGTAGCTAGGTAGCTAGGTAGCTATGTAGCTATGTAGCTATGTAGCTAGGTAGCTAGGTAGCTAGGTAGCTAGGTAGCTAGGTAGCTATGTATGTAGGTAGGTAGGTAGGTAGGTATGTAGGTATGTAGGTATGTAAGTATGTAGGTATGTAGGTATGTAGGTATGTAGGTATGTAGGTATGTAGGTATGTAGGTATGTAGGTATGCAGGTATGCAGGTATGCAGGTATGTAGGTATGTAGGTATGTAGGTATGTAGGTATGTAGGTATGTAGGTATGTAGGTATGTAGGTATGTATGTATGTATGTATGTAGGTATGTACTGATTATATGTATTGAATTATATATATATATATGTATATATATATAAATATTGGGAGATTGATGGTGGGTTCAACAAGCACAACACAACTGCTCCGTTGTCTCCTCAAAGGCCCGGTAGATCTGTGTCAACTTCTTGACCTCATGCGCGACGTGGGACATCTATTAGACATCCAGTAAGGATTCACTTAGAATAGATAGTTCTAACATATATCGTGGGAATATATGTGTGTATTTCATACATATATATATATATATTATATATATATATATGTATTTGGCAACATGTCAACTCACGAATTGCTGCAAACATCTTGCCGTAGACCTTCACACATTTTTCCATATTTTTTTCCGAGTTTTAACCCCCAAAACGTCAGTTGGCTGTAGCAGTGGGCGCCAGGATTCACTGAATCCCCCAACTCTGTCCGCATACTCTTCCAGCGCCAGGGCCGCCTCTGGATCCGCCCATTTTTATGGGGCTCAGAACCAATGGGAAATGTCAACCATGGGCTAACCGGTTCTGGTTACAAAGTAATGGTAGGCAAACATCATCCCCCAATTTTACCATGCATGGGTGGCATGAATGGTATACAGTATAAACCGTCAAAATATTGGTGATTTATGACATTGCTTTCCTACCATTAGTATGATTCCAGACTGGGTCAACAATATGATGTCTGTAGAACCAAAAAATGTGGGTGTCTCTGAAAGCGGAGAACTCTGGAAGACGTCCAACGGCTTGGAGCCTCATTGTCCGAAAATGGCCATAAAATGGAGTGCGGATGTCCAACGATGTCCATGTATATCCTATTTTCGGACAGACCTATGATCAGCACTTGCCACTTGGTGCTGGTATAGAATTGCAATGATCTGGGTTGGGACGCTAGCAATATATAGCAATGTTCTGCATTCAGAAAATACACTGGAACAATCTGCAGCAAATATGAGCAGTGTTAACCTAGGATTTAAACAAAACAAACATGGATTTGCCGGTATGGAGGGTAGCATGTCCAATAGACAATAATCCCCAAATGAATAGAAGTTGATAATTTCCTACTAAAACAATGATAAATGACTGTTCTATCTTTTTTGGGTTGCTATATTTTTTTTTTTGGGTGACTCCCGAGTTTCATCAACCAGGTTTACTCATCCACCCCAGAGGCATTTTGTTGGAGTGAGCGACGTGGATTCTTTGCACGTATATATATATATATGTCAACCGGGAACCACTTGAAATAAACACATATCCACAAAGATAGTAACTGTGTTCTGGAGAGGGCAAACTTCACCTAATTGGCCACAGGCTGAAGGGACAAATCATATTACACATCTCATATTCTCATATACCAGTTACATCCAACAACCGGGGGCTGATGCTTGCCATGCTCCAAGCAGGGGTTTCGGTGTCGCCACCTTGATGAGGTTCGGTAAACACCTTCAGAGGAACACGATTTGAGGATCTTAAAAAAAGGGACACCACATTGCTGAAAGGAATCATTTTCTACAGTAAAGTTCAAAGGACCCTTTTTCCTCCCTGAGGCTAGCGAGAGCCAAGATTAAAAAAATGGGTTTGATGTTGTGGCATGACTTAGGGTTCTCTGACTCAGGATTGCATGGGTAACCGTGAATTACTGTGACGAAGGGCGAAGAGGATGTCCCATTGCGCGAAAGGACCTTCAATTTATATGCACTTGATGTTGGATTTGGAAACTGACAATAAATTTCAATGTGTGAAGCATTTTCATGCATTATCTTCGTCTGGTCGCGTGGTACGAATGATACCTCGAGCCACAAAGTGAGGCATTATAAAGGACATCTGTTTGAGGGCCTTTGGAAGCGTGGGGAATATGTGCACCACATTATACACCCTCTGGTAGTCAAACGTGGCAATGAAAAATCCCGTATCAATGGGGAAAATAATCGAACTAAATGGGAGGTTTTCCATTCTCAGGTTTGATTGTCGGAGGGCCCGGGGTACTTACAAACAAACCTTAATACTGGAACACACTTCAAGTGATAAAATAAAGGTGATTCCCTTTCTCTTGGACGACCATGCCACTCAGCAAGTGGTCAAATTCTCCAAACCAGGGCCTACAGGCATATATCGCTATATCCCCCAAAATCAGAGATTATATAGTCGCTGAAACCAATTTCTTGGTGGTTTCCATGTTAAGATTGTTAAGATTCAAGAGGGAAAGCCCCAGCGATCCATCCGAAAGAAGGCTATTTGGCTATTTGGATAGCGTCAAAACCCTGCTACCCTAGGTACCTCAAAATCACTGGGTAATGGATCTTTATTCCCCCATTCCCCAAATATGGTTATAGTGGGTTTTGACCCAGCCTCGTATACCCAAATCATCCCAACATCCTAAGCGTCATTCCAGTGATGTCGCGACGTGAGGTCGTGATCAAATTTATCCAGCCTTATGAGTGGTTTATCGTCCTGACCAGCCCCACTTTTGTGGATCACTTGACGAAGCTGGCCTTGCAAAATGGCTGGCCGCGAAGGTTTCCAACTGAAGCCCTTGGGGTAAAGGCTCACGGACGAAATACCTGGCGAGACATAAACGGATTTTTCAGTGTGGATGCAGTTCATGATGCCCTCTGGTGACCACTTTGGTGTTATCAAACATGCCGGAGAAATCCCCGAACTAAATCAAAATTTTGAGAAAAGGATCGAACTAAATGGATGCATCAAGGGATATAACTAGCTCAGTTGCTAACTAAAAGGGATCATGGGCCACCATTATTCAGTGCCTTCTCGCAGAGTACCATCTGGATCCATCTGGTAATTTAACATGGCTATGGAACATGGGCCCATTTATTATGGATGATTGGCCTAAAAAAAACTGATTTTCCATAGCTCTCTGCAACTTGCCGGAGTGTATCAATCCCATGAAACCACGTATCTCCCATGCATATTCCATGATACCCCCATTTTTCATCGCATGAAATGTGGAAATCAAAGATCTTCCACTCCAGGGGCATCCCTTGGAGCCCCATTATTAAAGCCATTGGATCTGCATCCCGGTGCTCCCCACAATCCACCTCTGCACCGATGCCAACAGCGTAGCGCCAGAGACCAAAGAGGCGGCTGCCTGAGCCCACGGCTCTAACCAGGTGCAACCAGCTTAGTAGAATTCGGATGATATATATATATATATATATATATATATGTATGTAATGTAATGTAATGTAGTGTAATGTAATGTAATGTAATGCAAATGTAAATGTAAATGTAAATGTAATGCAAATGTAATGTAATGTAATGCAAATGTATATGTAATGTAAATGTAATGTAATGTAATGTACATGTATATGTAATGTAAATGTAATGTAATGTAAATGTAAATGCATATGTAATGTAAATGTAATGTAATGCAATGTACATGTATATGTAATGTAAATGTAATGTAATGTAAATGTAAAATGTAATGTATGTAATGTCAATGTAATGTCAATGTAATGTAAATGTAATGTAAATGTAATGTAAATGTAATGTAAATGTAATGTAAATGTAATGTAAATGTAATGTAAATGTAATGCAAATGTAATGTAAATGTAATGTAATGTAAATGTAATGTAAATGTAATGTAAATGTAATGTAAATGTAATGTAAATGTAATGTAAATGTAATGTAAATGTAATGTAAATGTAATGTAAATGTAAATGTAAATGTAAATGTAATGTAAATGTAAATGCATATGTAATGTAAATGTAATGTAATGCAATGTAAACGTAATGTAAATGTAATTTAATGTAATGTAAATGTAATGTAAATGTAATGTAAATGTAATTTAATGTAATGTAATGTCATGTAATGTAATGTAATGTAAATGTAATGTAAATGTAATGTAAATGTAATGTAAATGTAATGTAAATGTAATGTAAATGTAATGTAAATGTAGTGTAAATGTAATGTAATGTAATGCAATGTAATGTAATTGTATGTATGTATGTATGTATGTATGCATGTATGTATGTATGTATTACACATACAATATAAACATATAACCATGAAACGTAATCTTTATATATATAATTATATATATATAGATATGTGTTTTGCCACACTGATTCATGTATTTGTGTGTTATAAAAGTATATATGACCATCAACCTATAAAAACTCCGGTGATTGGCCAGTTTCATGTGATTTGTTTTTCCCACGGAGCCAAGCCGGGAGAAACTCCCATGAGTGGATGAGAGCTGAAGCTGGGTGGGGATTGGTATCCCTTCCCCTATGGAAAACAGCCCCATTCGATGGTCCCAAAACCATGGTGTCTTCATCCACCATGGTTGGTTTCTTGGGAAATCAATATCATATCATCATAATATCGTACATACATGAGGGATTAATGATAGGGAATAATAATATTAAGTATCCCCATATGGATAATATGATAATATCTAATATTAAAAGGGGGGATTAGTGATAGCGAAATCAATATCATAATATCATATAATACCAAAAAATGATGATCCGATGATCAATGGTTAATAATCAATAATTAATAACCATAGTATCACCTATACGGTATATACCATAGTCATGGGTAAATTGATATCAATTGCCCATAATCAAAATCGTATATGTAACTTCAAATACTTAAACACTTACTATTATATAATAAGAGTCATGGGTAATATTAATATATATGGTAATATTGTACCACACAAAAACAATTAACTACCATCGGTGAAACATATTTTACCCTCTGGTAAACTAACATAACTATGGAAAATCACCGTTTTCAATGGGAAAATCCACTATAAATGGGCCATTTTCAATAGCTATGTTAGTTTCCCAATAGATCAGGTTAGGTTATTTTCTGCCTAAAAGGTAATTCCTTACCTAAAGCAAAAATATAACCTTAAAGGTAAAATCTAAATAACCTAAAAAAGGTTATTTTTTTACCTAACAAAAAAAATACATTTTTTTAGGTAATTTTTTTAACCTTATTTTTACCTTAAAAATGTAAGTTTTTCATTGTTTTTTTGGCATTGTTTAGCTGAGATGAATGTTGGAAAAAGCAATGGACCAATGGCATTCCAAACAACTTCGGCTCCAAGTACATGAAAAACCAAGCAGTCCTATGAGCAAAAGTAATCCTATTCCTACAAGTAATCCTAATCCCAACAGTAATCCTATGACCAGAGTTCAAACAGCAAGCTGGCCTTTTTTCACTTCACTTGCTATTCCTACAAGTAATCCTAATCCCAACAGTAATCCTATGACCAGAGTTTCCACAGCAAGCTGGTCTTTTTTCACTTCACTTCTTCTGCATTTCACAATGCATACCATAAGACCAGTGATGCAGCATCTTTGTGCATGCATCCTGTGGCGCAACCCCTTCACACAGTTGGCACCTAAAAGCTTCAAAATTCCCATGTAGGACTCACCACAAAAATTCCACACCACTCTAGGATTGATTTGGTGGCTGTGGAGAGCCAAATGGATCAAGTCATGGGTCTTCAAAGTGGTGTTGAAAAGCTGGACAGGCTCATCAGAAAAGTGATCGAACAAAAGGCTCTGCACATGGCACATAGTACAGCATGCATCCAAAAGTTCTTTGGCAGCTGCAGCTGGCAGTGCCACAGACTCCTTGTGCTCATCAAGCAGATCTTCAATTCTGGAATTCAATTTGAGCACTGTCAAAATCTGGCGATGCACAGTAATGTGATGGTTGTGGTGCTTTGACCACAGGTGGGAACCACTTTGTGCAAGTGATGGATCTCTGCCCCCTTGCCCCTGAGCTTGGGTGGTCCAGACTTTCTTTGAAACATGGTCAAGCGGTTGAAATACCTGTACTGATGAACAATTCCCAAGGTCTTGTACAAGGTTTTCATTTCTTCCCACATTGACAAAAGGTTGTTCACTGGCGTTGATGGCAGTACCACAAAGCAAAGTAGATGGAATACTGATGCATAAAGATATTGATCATTGCCAAGGTATTTGACATGTAGCCAATCCAGCTGCACTGAACAAGCAGTGACCCCAATGGCTTGAAAAAGTGGGCATTTGCTTCTCCCAGGCCAATCCAACCATTCTTGGGGTTTCCACTCCATTCCAGCAATGTGCTGCCAAGGTGAAATTTTTTTCCATGTCATAGGTCCACTGCTTTTGCACTTACAAACTGGGCAGCCACCTTCCTTCAAACTCCACCTGGGCAACTGCAATGATGCTGCAAAGAAATCCAAATCTCCTTGCACTGACACCAATGCAGCTTTCCAGCCACCACACAGGGGCTTTCCAGCCCTCAAGAAATCTTCACTGCCAGAGCTGTACCTTTTGCAAGGGCAAAGCAAAAAACAGCCACACACAGATGCAAACATTTAAGCACCATTGCTTTTGCTGCCATGCACAAACACAGAACAGCACAACCCATGAAACTGCAAGCCAAGTGCTCCACTCCAGTCCAGTCTGCTGTTGGAAAATCTCCTTTGAGGAGGCAATCAAAACTCCATCTCAAGACTTGGAAGAAGGTGTCCAAAGTAGATTCATCGCCATGCACCAGCAACTGCTCAAATACCTGTGCAGCACAGCAGCAAAAGCACAACATGATTTCCAGTGAGGCAAACAAAGACACAGGGACATTACACAGCAAACCTGCGCAGTAATCCTACACAGTAACCCTAAACAGTAATCCTACACAGTAATCCTACACAGCAATCCTATCTTGCACAGCAACCCTACACCTCAGAAACTTGCTTGTGACTCAGGCCACCCAAAAGATTTAAGATTGAGCTGCTCCAAAAATGAAAAATGATCTCTGCTTGGTAGAGCCAACTGAAAGTAGAGAAGCCCAGCTGTAGCACTGCATCAGCTTTGCCCAAACTTTCCCACATCCAACTGTGGGAACAGCATCCCCATGCAGGTTGAGTGGAATTGTAGTTGACATCCAATTGGGCTGGTGCAAGAGCCAATGGTTTTCAAAAGAGTGGTGGTCCTTGAACTTTTCCCAAAATGCAAGCAAGCCCTCCTTACCATTGGGAAGGAAAACGCTTTTCCAGAAATCTGGGTAATTCACCCAGACATGGTGAAAGACCAAGTGTGGTAGCATAATTGATTGCAAAGCTTTGCCTTTTGGCACCTTCATAGACATGAACACTTGCAGTGGTTGAGGCAACTGGTACTCAGAAGCTACTAAATTCCACAGATCTCTGTGGCAATTGTTGGCATGTGCCCCTTCAGTGCCCAGCATTGAAAGCTTGTGCAAAGAGTTTGGGATTTCTGTTGCTCCTGAAGCAAGCATATCCTTTTTTGCTAAGGAAGCTATATGTTGTACAGCTTGAGGTGACAATTGCCCCCATGCCCATTGTTCTTTCAACCAATCAGCCAGCAAGGAGGGCTGGCCACCAAAGGAAACATCACCTGCAAGACTTTCTCTCTTTTGTGATTGCACCCTTTGGTGCAAACCACCTCTTCTTCTTTTTCTGCCCACTGGGTCATGCAAATCTTCATCCATGGCTTCCCACTAAGCAAGCTGGTGCTCTTAGCAAAAGTTCTGGGCTGCTGTTACATGAAATGAGACATCTGTGAGCATGAGGGCTCTCAATGAAAATTTTATAGCTGTAAAAACTTTGCATGCTTCCAGCATTTCACACTTGTTCCGAAATTTCAAACTCTGAGGTTTCAAAGCTGTACAAATCTGATCATCCGCTTGTTTGGTCACTGGGTGAACAATTGTTTCTATCTTTGGTATGCCCACAAGCTTGAAGACCAACAGTGCACACAGCTGCAAATTCTTTGGACTTTGTGCAAACAATTTGAACACAATAATCCTATTTGGCAAGCAACACAAACTTCAAAGTGTGTCCCACCAAGAATAATCCTAAAGCCATTCCTTCAAGCAATAATCCTAACAACTTTCTTGTGCTTCACAAAGTAATCCTAGCAGCAGCTCCTTTTTTATACCCTCAAAGCCTAGCACAGCTGTCTTATCCACAGCTCCACAGCCAGTCTGCCACATGCAGGCTTAGCTGCACTTGCATTGCCAAAACTGGATGGTTTGATGCCATTGTGAACCATGATGGAACAATGCTGAAACTTGCATGTCTTTCCTTGTTTTAAGAATTATTCCAAACTTGTGACAAAC